GCGAAGAGGCGGGGAGGGAGGCGGGAAGCAGGGCGGTGTCGGGGTCGCGGGTACGGGGCGGGGCGGGGCATGGTAACGGCTCCGAAGGAGAGGGGGCGGTGCCGCAGCGAGGCGGAGGGAACGGTGTTCACCGCCGCCGCAGCCGCAGCTCGCGCGCTCCTCGGCCATGATGATCCACGGCTTCCAGAGCAGCCACCAGAACTTCTCCTTCGGGCCGTGGAAGCTGACGGCGGCCAAGACCCACATCATGAAGTCGGCGGATGTGGAGAAGTGAGGCTCCGGTCCGGGGCGGGAGGCGGTGGGCTCGGGTGGCCTCTCCGGTCCCCGTGCGTCGGGACCTTTGATTGACAGCTGGGTGAATGGTTGTGTCCCCGCCTCCCGAGGCTTGGCCCGGGCGCTCCAGGTGTTGGGCTGTCTCTCTCCTGGCTTTGACTGTTCCACCTTCCCTTTCTTCCTTCCGTAGCCTGCGCCACATACCTGAGTGGTCCTGACCCGTTTTGGGGGGTTAATGGCTTTAGCCTTTTAGATGCAGTAGCAGGCACTTGAGCAACGGAACAAGGAAGAAAACGCGCACCTGGAGGAATTCCCGGTGTTGGGAGACAGCTTACTCTGTTGCAGTGTGGATAAGTGTTTACAAGGGCGGAAGATGGGTACAGGAGTGATCTGAGACCGCCTAGGGGACGGAGCCAGCGGGGAGTTGGGTCGGCTGCGCAGAATCTGAAGGAATCTTGCTGGGCTGTAGGCGGTGGGCGGTGACGCGCCCTGGCTAGGGGCCTTGAGCCCCTGCGGTCTAGGATGCCTGGAGTGGGTCCCGACCGGGTTCGGGGCCATCAGGCATTATAAGAGCGAACTGTGATGTGTGTGAAGAGCTGTTTCGGTGACATTGGGGCGTGAGCTGGTGAGAAATGAAGAATGGCTCCGCGGAAGTCGAGATATGGAGGGAATTTCTATGCCAAATGAGAGTTTTGAATTTTACCCAACAACCACCAGGTGTAATTTTATCCAGAGGAGCTATGTTATTTATTGTGGCTCTTTTTTTAGGGGAGAATGATGTGGAGGATTGGGTGGAGGGCTACAGGGCTGGGAAGACTAGTTAGTGGGGGAGAGAGGAGAGACTTTAGAAGATTAAGTTCTCGGTTTTTTGGTGTTTTGAGACAGGGTCTCACTATGTAGTTGAGACTGACCTGGAACTCACTCTGTAGCCCAGGCTGGTCTCGAACTCACAGTGATCCTCCTGCGCCAGCCTCCCGAGTGCTAGGATTACAGGCACGCCCGGCTTTTTT